TCAGGAATGGGCACAAAATCCTGGCCGAACACAACTTTAAAAGGGGTCATTCCAGTACTGCTATGTACTGAATTATTGTACGCCACGGGATAAATTGGCAATAGAAATTAGCAAATCCCAAAAAACTTTGTAGTTGCTTGCGAATGCGAGGAGCTGCCCACTCAGTGACAGCCCAGACCTTTGCCGGGTCCATCTCGATACCTTCATGGGAGATACGGTATCCCAAATATTCTATCCTCTCCTGGTGAAATTCACACTTAGACAAGTTGGCATAAAGTTCAGCAGCCCGGAGTTTTTTTGAGAACCGAGCACACCAGTCACGTGTTCATCACTTGTTTCTGTGTAGATAAGGATGTCGTCAAGGTAAACCAACACCCGCTTGTACAGGTGCTCATACAAGACTTTATTTATTAATTGTATGAAGATCGTTGGCGCCCCTTGAAGTCCAAACGGGAGTACTCTAAACTGGAAACATCCCAAAGGGCAGTTGAAAGCAGTTTTCCACTCATCTCCCTCCCTTATTCTGATTCTGTAGTAGGCTTCCCTTAGGTCCAACTTCATGAAAAATCTCCCTTTACCCAACTGGGCCAACATGTCCTTCATAAGGGGTAGTAAGTACACGTTTTCCACACAAATGGTGTTGAGATTCTTATAGTTTATGCATAAATGAAAGGAGCCATCTTTTTTCTCTCTGAACAATATGGGTGCAGCCACCCGTGGTCTAGCGGGTTGTATGAACCCTCTTTTTAAATTTTTGTCAATGAAATTTCGTAATTCCTCCATTTCACGTGGGGTCATCGAGTAAATCTGAGGTTTAGGGAGTATTTCCCCTGGGAGGATTTCAATGCTGCAATCAGTAGCGCGGCAGGGAGGTTGTTTGTCAGAAGCCCTTTCACTGAAAACCTCCCTGAGGTCCCAATATTCTTTGGGGATTTTCTCCTCCCCTCAATTTTCTCATCCGCTGCAGTGGCTAGGATTGTTTCATTGCTGGCTATGTGGGAGATCCTCCCCTCCCCCCTGGAAGTTTAGTGGAAGGGATGCGTAGCCACCCTTTCCTCCAGTTCACGTGTGGGTTCCATTTCCGCAGCCACGGTAATTCCAGTATGAGGGGTCGATCCATCCCATGCGCAATGATGAAACCCAAGGTTTCTTGGTGATCTCCCATCCACATTTCCACTGGTTCAGTTACAAAATGAGCCCCCCCCAGCCACTGACCCATCTAATTGGCAAAAGGCAATGGGCACTTTCAAAGTCCTCAGTCTTAAAGCCATTTTCTCCACCACTTCTGGGCTAATTACACACCAGGTGCATCCAGAGTCTAAGAGGGCCAGGATTTTCCCCTGGGCTCCAGTAGAGGGCACTTTAAGTTCTACTGGAATGGTCATGGGGCCAGATCGGGGACTTACCAAGTGGTCGTCATTGGAGTCAGTTTCACTTTCTCCCGAAAGAAGGGAGGGCTCTTCCCCCTCCTGGGTGGGAGGGAAATCCTCAACAGCTTTCACCCCTTTCAAAAGACGGTTTCTTTGCGCTTCCCTGGTTGCCAGTCTGGTTTCTTCTCACTAGCAGGGGTGGGTTTGGGACCAATCTTTGAGTAGCAGCTCGCAGCTCGGTGCCCCTCCTTCCCATATCAGAAACAAGCAGTAGACTGAGGCTTGCCTGCAGACCACCCCTTCCCTCCCTTTGGAGCTTCTTCGGGAGTAGGAGGGGGATTCTTGATTTTATCGCTGCCTCCCCGGTATTTATTCCTGGCCAGGTCAATTTCCACATCTGCTGCCAGCTCATACCAGCATTGCAGGTTGCGTGGGGCCCCTCTGTTTACACAGCCCTAGTACACATCTTCGTTCAGGCCGTCCTTAAAACTCTCCATTAAAGCCTCTTTGGACCACACCCACATATGCACAGACAACTCACAAAACTCTTGGATGTACTCAGCCACTGGACTTCTTCCCTGAGTGAGGGTTTTCATCTTGGTTCTCGCCTTCCAATCAGCTAGGGGGTCATCAAAGCATTTCCTCAGGGCAGCCATAAACACATTGTAATCCCTCAGCAGGGGGGAGTCATCATTATGCAAAGTGACCATCCAGTCTGCTGCTTTGTTCTCCAGTGCCATAGTAACAGCTCTTACTTTGGCTTCCTCGTTCGGAAAATCCTCTCTATACTGTTGCATGTAATCCAGACCTGGACCAGGAAAAATCCCAGCTCTTTGGGGTCTCCTCCAAACTTCACCCCAAGGGGAGGGATCTTTGACATTCGGCATCTTCGGGGGCCACTCCCCCCCTTGGCAGGGCTCGGGTGGCTGCTGCTGCTGCTGCTGCTGCTGGGGCTCTCCCATCCTGATCAGCTCCACTGTCAGCCCCCAGGACACTCTCATGGTTAGCCAGGTCTTCCGCACGTCTCTCTTCTTGCTCAGCCAATTCAGCTTCCCTCTCAGCATGGCTTTAGCGGTAATGGCGTTTCTCCCATGCCTCTTGAAGAAGTTTCAAAGCATGAGTCATCATGAGGTCCTCTTGTTCTGCTTCCTGCCAGGCAGCCTCAGGTCACCGGCGTCGGCTGGTGGTAACTCTGGCAGGAACCTCCTCAGGATCACTTCTCTGTCCCACTCCCAACGACCATCTGGGATGGACAGATCTTTCCTCCAAATCCAGCTCAGCCATCCGTTCTGTTTCCAGGGGATACAAGGATCCGGTAGCCCCCATGTCCTCCTGGTCACTCCCTGGATTGGACATTGTTGAAGGGTTCTTAGGTTTGGTTTTCTTTATGTGCACTCCCCTCAGAAGGTGTTAGCTCCGGGATGAGTGCGAAAGGGTATCTTGATTAATGTCAGGCGTGCCTCCATCAATAACCAAGAAAGAAAACTCTCAATTCTAATGTTCGTGGAAATTAAAATACTTTTACTGGTTATGAAAAGATAGCAGCGAAAGAAAATCAAGATCTGAGCCAGAAAGGCATGAACAAGTACATATCAAATGATTACCCAGCCCCCTCCAATGACCCCACCCCAGTGTCCAATCTGCAACTCCCTAAGGTGTCATGTGGGTTGCATCTTCAAAAGGCATCATCAGGTTGGTATGCAAGATGGTTGGCCTTGACCAGGCCCAAACACCGGCCACCAGCATGTGCAGAACATGGTGAGAAGAAAACTTCCTTTTCCATATCTCCTCCAGTACCATATAATTCCCATCCCAATACTATGCCCCCACCTTCCCCGTTTCTATGGCAGCCGATAGCAAGCAAGTGAAGCAGAGGCTGACAGATCCAGTATAACCAATCTGGTGCCACCCAGCTTATATTTTTGTGACAGATTCTGGTGATTCCTTCCAATCCTTTCCATTTACTGGAAATGGTTTTATACCACCCTGTCAACGTTTTATTAGTTCCACTCCACCATTCTGGATGGTTACTGGAGTTACAAGCCAAGACTCCTTCACATACCATATCTCCTACATCTTTACTAGGTTGGGTTCTTTTGAAGCAGGTTTCCCCTATTATCTCGTTCTCTAATACCCATGCACCAATTCGAGTTTGGGTAAAATTAAATTCCCAACTCCAGCTAGTATTACTTAGATCTACCTCGTTGGCCTCCCACGGCCACCTTCCTCCCACTTTTGTACCGCCACATCAGTGGTGGGTTTCAAAAAATTTTGGAACCTCTTCTGTAGGTGTGGCCTGCTTTGTGGGAGGGGATTGCCACCCATGTGACTGGGGGGGAGTGGCTTGCCGCCCATGTGACCGGGTGGGAGTGACACAGAAATGAACACTTCCATTGCATGCACTGCATTAGGATGAAACAAGCACACAAAATAATAGAAAAGGAAGATTACTGTCCTTTTCTCCGCCTACTGCACCACCACCTCACCACTTTGCTCCAATGACCTGC